GACGGCCTGGTTCTGCCCGGTGATGTTTTGGTGCATAAACAGCCAATGCGTTGATGCTTAATTGGGTGAGTTTTTGGTCACATGCCCAGAGTGAAGTTGATGATCTCTGCCAGGGTCAGGAAGGAATTTTCCTCCTCTGACAGACTGGCCAAGGCTGGGTGGTTTGCGCCTTCCCCTTTCTCTCTGGAAGGCTGAGCAGAGGTGCCTGGCTGCTCAGGCCATGGGCACCACACCTGTGATTGCTGCCTCGGACTCACGCAGGGCGAGAAGCCCACAGGCCTGTCCCCCTGACCGTGTGGACCCTCCCTGTGCACACTGGGTGAGTGAGCCGAGTCTCAGAAGGGACCTCAGCCTCCATGCCATCGCTGTCTCGTTGCGAAAGGTACCTGCAGCCAGCCTTCCTCGTGCATGGAAGGGCGTCCACCTGGTTCCTTCCCCTGTGGCCGTGCTTGAACCTTCCCTGCTTACAGGGCAGCTGGAACAGTGCTGACCCGCGGGGAGGCTGATTCGAACAGCTGTGGGTCTGTGCGTGGCCAGCGAGTGAGGAGACAGCGTGGGTCGGGGCCTGGCTACCCAGGCAGAGAACACCCAGAACCCACTGCTGAAAGTAGTGGGCGTAGGAGGAAAGGGGGAAGAGGCGGGGGGGGCTTTTCAGAGATAAAATTTAACCTCTGTTTGTAGTGGTTTGATGAGCTTGCTTGAAATATCTAAATACAACCAACACTTATGCATAAGTGGGTGTATGCACGTGTTTGGGGTGTCGACCCCATCAGGTGGGTGCCTGAAGAATATGGTGGAGCCAGGGCACAGCTTGGAATCCACCTCGCCAGTGTGTTCATTAGTAGACGAGGAATCGAGGCTGGGGAAGGTGCAAGAGGCACGGTCGTGACTCCCAGCCCAGTGCTGTTTCCGAGGGGACACATCACCAGCCTCTGGGAAGACAGAACCGTGTGGCTGAAACGGCAGGCCCAGGGCTCTCCCTACATAGCCCCTCCCTCCTGCTGCTGACCCTACGTCTGACCCAGTGCTACTCGACCCTTTTTCCGTGATTGCTCCCACTACGGAGATTTTTCTAGATTATGTTTTCTATATCATCTCTCTCCTCCATGAAATGTTAATACCCTGGAAACACTGTAAATCGTTTGTGTGCTGCGGCCCTTGGGCGGGTCATGAAACAATAACGCCTAAGATTTGTTTCTGACCCCCAAGAACCAATTTTTTCCCTTTGGGGTCAATGTCACCCCCGCTGGGAATGAATGGAATGACTTCAGGCCTGGGCCTACCTACCTCTGGGCCCCCAAGTCCTCGCTGAGAAAGGGGCTCTGAACAGCTGTTTCTACCCGCCACCCTCTTACAGCCACTAAAGAAATCTTAAAAGCCCTGGCTGGGTGGCTCAGTTGGTTGGAGTGTTGTCCCATGCACCCCCCCAAAAAAAATGTTGTTGATTCATTTCTGGGTCTACTTAGGTTGCGGGTTCAATCCTTGGTCAGGGTGCATATGGGAGACAACAGTGTTTTTCTCTCACACCTATGTTTCTCTCTCTCTCTCTCTCTCTCTCTCAGATCAATAAACATATCCTCAGGTGAGAATTTAAAAAGTATTTTAAAAAAAGAAATCTTAAAAGCTAAAATGTCAATTATTGCAGGGACCCTAGAGGGCCTAGGCAGCTGAGCTAGTGAATACAAAGCAGCCAGTACTCCTGAACCGTCACACCTAGAGCACGCTGGCTCAGTGGCCCAGGTCTTCAGCAGAGCCCAGGGTGAACACAACCCTCTCCTCCAGCAACAGCAAAAAAACCCACATACACAGCAACTTCTGCTGTTTTCATAAAAGACATTTTCCCAACAAGCAAGAAATGATTACAGAAGAAAAATAGCATGGTGTTCACCTGAGAGAGCCCTTTAAGAAAACTTAAGGGATATAATTGGCCATAGAAGGAATTAGCAAAGGAAATCAGAGACAACGCTGTGTGCAAAACTAGAGAGATCACAGAGCAAATGAGTGGGCCGGTATGGGGAGCAGGGGCAGATCCTTAAAGGAGGTAAATATCCTATTGATAAAAATATGCCTAATTTTGATATGACCAAACTGGATTTACTGATGACGTTTGAGAGCCTTTTGTCAGGCTTAGATGAGGGAACCTCACTCCCGGCGTCTTGTTATGATGTATCTGGAGGGTTTCTAACTGATGCTGAAGCTGTAGGAGGCTTTCCTATGTTCTTACGTGTGGCGTCCACCTGTCCTTTCTCCGAACGCACCATGAAGGTCATGTCAGAGGTCTGCCCTCTTCTTCCTCGGTTTGCTGAGCCTCTGGCCCTGAAAGGCAAGGGGCCTTTTTACCTTGAGCTGTCACTTACAGGAACTTCCCTGATGCGGGTTCCAGAGAGTGGAAGGGGCTTTGGCCCCAGGGGCTCTTCCCTTCCTCATAACCTCCTGCCTCTCTCCCTTTTCATCCTGCCTCCTGTTCAGGATATAAACCCAGCCAATCCATGGGAAAATCAGAGTCCAAACGCAGGCAGCCTTGACCTCTGTCTGATACGGCTCCCAGGGGGAGATCCAGGAGCACGATAATCCGCCTGGCACGTTAACCCCCTGTGGGCATCAAGAGGGAGGTTCCCTGTGGGGTCTGGTGGGTCTTTGTTAATGGCACAGAAAGGGTGCCTACATGTGAGCACTTGAACTTGGTTGTTTATCTATGTCAGGAGCACAGTTCTCATGAACATTTGATGATGATCGTGATCATGATGACAGATTTGCAAACACCCCCAAAGAATTGTCTTTGGTTCTAGAACCCAACAATCCCCGCCCCTCTCAGTACCGAGGTCCCACCTGGTATGGAAGTGTGCCTGGCGATGTGACTTGTTTTTGGAAAGGAAAGCGGATGGGCGAGGAAACTTGAGAACTCTCTCCATACAGTGTAACATTGCCACCAACTGGCTCTGTGACCGTAAGCGAGTTATGAATTCCCTGGGCTTTATCTTTCCCAATTCTAGGATGACAGAGTGAGGGAAGAGATGGGACTGTCTCCTTCCCACATGTGGTACTCACACCACTCTTGATACATACATGAGATGAATCCGGTCAGGGTAGGCAAACTCATACTCAAAGAGTCAGAAAGGACATATTTTAGGATTTGCGGGCCAAAAGGCAAAATCAAGGATATTATGTAGGTACCTACATAACCATTTAATAGGTAATCATTTAAAAATGGAAACTCATTTTTAGCTGCAGGCCATTCAAAAATAGGTCGTGAGCAGGATTGGGCCTGAAGGTTGTAGCTTGCTACCCTGTGATTTAGATGGTGCATGGATGAACAATTTTCATTTAAGTGCTTATGTCTTAATTTTTACATATGTTCCAAAACACTGACTTTTCATTGATAGCGATGATATAAAGTTTTCCTTTTTATAAAACAAAAATGCATTTATGTTCAAAGAAAGAGGGAGTTTTTTATTGAATGTATTAAATTATCGTGATGGTAGGCAAATGACAAAAGCTATGAAACACTGGCCTAGATGATTGATAAGCTCCTGACCGTCTTAAAATGCCATGTGCTTAATATCCCAAGACCCGGAATGCAGTCTTAGCGGTGACACTTACCAGCTGTGTGAGCTGTGTGATCTTGAGCTGTGGGTCCTCTTTGCAAAGCAGGGACGGAGCTACCTTATCTCAACATTACCTCGTTAATAACAAAAGAGAAATGGGGCAAACACATATTTTTAATCCACCGAGTATGACTTATTGTTTGTCTGAACTGAGAATATGGGACGCAGCAAAGAGAAACCTGAAAGATGAGACGGATGGGCGAGAATGAATGAGACCGGGGGCCCAGGCCCATTGCTCTGCCCCCTTCATGGCCTCGACCAGACACCTCTCCCCCAGCGTGCCCCTACCAGGGTGAGCAGGATCGGAGCACAGCCGCCAGGGTCGTGACTTCTTACACAAACCTGAGTTGTCACCCAGACAAAGCACCTGCCAGCTGGGTGGTCCGGGGCACGTCAGCTGGAACGTGAGAGTCCACTCCTCCTCTGTAAAACAGAACCACCCGCAGAACCTGTCTCAGAGCTCTCGTTCTAGGGAGCCCACGAGCAATGAACGTACGGCTCTGAGGTGCTCAGCACAGAGTCCAAAGCAATTAAGTGTGTTGTCATCAAGGGTCCTCACTCTCTGATCCAAACCGCCGGGGCTGGAAGGTTATAGGGTGTTTATATGGCAGAATACAGACCACCCCTCTCCAGGCATTTCTTCTCGTACAGCTTAAATGCACTGATAGTCCTGCAGTATATCACATGAATATTCATCAGGTAGAATAAATAAAACTATAACTATGGTTACAAAACTATATAGCATACATATGTTTATATAGAGTGTATAGTTTTTATACATAATCTGTGTATGTATAGTATAGAGTTTATATACCTATCAATGTAATATATATATATATATATACACACACACACACACACACACACACACACAACAGTATATCAAACTATATAACATCATTTCAGAACCGTTTTTGTTAGGAAACAAGCTTACGTCAAGCACACACTTTTGGGTTCAGAGCTCCGGATTTCAGAATTGTAGATGAGGGCTCACGGGCACACCCACAGCACCTCTTGCCCTGTCTTCAGAAGCATATCATTAGACCTGATAAGTAGAGTTCAGAGGTCAGGTGTGAGTGAACAGGGAAATACCAAGTCAGTATTGCTTAACAACAGCCCCCTCCTCAAATCCTAATTTTGCCACATACTGGCCACGCGGCGTGGGCAATTGTATCAACCACTCTGACTGACAGCTTCCTCATCTGTGAAATGGGGATATGTGTACAAGCCTCATGGGATATGCCAAGGACTAATGACTGGCACGTGGAGAGCACTTAGAGGGGTGCCTGTTTGTGAGTGTTCGCTGTCATGATTAAGACCAATGGGCACGCGGGGGGTCTGGCAGTGTGGCTTCCAGGAGTCACCGCCTCCTCATAGCCTCTCCTGCCATTGCAGGGTGATGTTGGACTCAGTGACACACAGCACTTTCCTGCCCAACACGTCCTTCTGCGACCCTCTGATGTCGTGGACTGACCTGTTCAGCAATGAAGAGTATTATCCTGCCTTCGAACATCAGACAGGTACGTGCATCTGGAGAAGCCGCTCTGGGCTGGGACGGGCTGGGGCAGAGGGGGTGCTGGCCCTGGGCCGGTGACAAGGCCATGCTAGGGACCTACAAATGCCAAGGGAGAGGACCAGGGGAGGCCTGGGTGGCGGACAGGACAGCTTCTGCCGAGGAAAGTACAGGGATCCTCACCCAACCCGCCCAGCTCCGTGGCCTCCAGGGACTCTGCTCACCTCTCTGAGCCTCATTTTGCTATCAGGTAAAATGCAGATGATAGCACCAATCTCTTGGAGTTATTATATTTAAACAGTGAAGTAGAAAGAAACCCTTGACTCAGAGCCTAGCACGCTGTGACTGCTCCATCGTTATGGGTTTAGTTAACATTTGCTGAACACGAGCTATGCGCCAGACCCTGCACCAAGCACTGTCGCCTTCTGAGAGAAGCCTATGAAAAACGAACAATTATAATTTTCATTTCGGAGATGAAGAAACTGAGGCACAGAGAGGTGAGGTGACTATCCCAAGGTCTCGTGGTTTGTTAAGTTTCATGCCAGTGACTTGAGCACCTGTACTCTTAACGATGCCACGTGGTCAGCGTACAGGCGACGCAATGCTGGGTTGTTGATATTAATATTGCTGTTACTCTCTGAGATGCATCTCCTTGTCCCTGAAGCAGGGATGATGAGAGTCACTGTAAGGATCAAGGGAGCCAAGTGTGTAAAACGCATAGCCGGGCACAAGCACATGCTCAGCAAATATGAGTCCCGCCACTGTCCCCCAGGCTGCCATCCCCACCCTTCCTCCTCCCAGGCCCGGCTCTCCCCAGCTGAGAAGCAAGCAGAGGGCTCCGTGCAAATCCCATGCCACAGGGAGGCCCGCCGAGCTTTGCCCCAGAAACCCTCTGAGGCCTCTGTCCCCAGGTGCTCGGGAGACTGCACAGCACAGCAAGCCTGGCTGCCTGCTAGCAAGGCAGGTGCACACCCCGGGGGGAGGGCCGTGGTGCAATTGAGAACCAATCATCAGTCCTCACAGAGCCTTAACCCTGTGCACACTGGCCTGGCAGGTCCCCTCTCAGGGTCAGGAGACAGGGTCAGGAGGCAACACTCCGGAGGGAGGAGGCCAGGAGAGGCCAGGCCTCGGAGGATGCTGTGAAATGCCCACCACCACCAGGAAGCCCCTGCCTCCGAGCCAGATGCCAGGGCTGCTGCACAGACTTGAGGCACTTACCTGCATCATTCAGTCCCGCACCCACTCCCACCCCACCCCCACGCACACGTGCACGCGTGACATCTTGCACCCTAGTCCGAAGGGTCCAGGTGATTGGTTTGAACCTGACTCATTCAGATGCATACTGCAATTCTTCTTGGAGCCTAAGAAGCAGCTTGTTTCCCAGAAACACAGAGAAATGTGTTTGATTTTCTCCCCTCAATATTTGGTTGAGAGGCTAAATTTGAAGGAGGAGAATGAAGCTTTCACGTCCTCGTCCCCTCCCCACGTGTCACAGGATGGTAGGCTCAGCCCCTGGTCCTTCTCTCCACCCACACATATCCCAGACCCGCCATTCTGGGAGCCCCTTCTTCCCGCCTACTCCGCAGGGTGGGGACGGCCACAGCTGCCCGCCCCCTGCGATGCCTCAGCCTATGAGCTGCTGCTCCTCTCTGGAGCCTGGCACCCTAAATGCGACACCTGGCTTCGACGCCATCTTAACCTCGCATGCCTCAGTTTCCTCATCTGTGAAATGGAGACAGTAATGATGCCCACCTCGCAGAGCAGGGAAATGTTTGGGACACATTTGTGTCCGGCACTTGACAAGCACACATGGGTGTGTAAAAATGAAGGGTTCGTTCCCGCTGGGGAAGGTGACAAGTTCTGGAGCTGCTCACGCCACACACCCCGCCACAGCCCTTCGCCGTGCACAGCACTGTGGGTGCGCCGCGTGCCACCACTGTACACTGAAATGCTGTTAAAATGGTAGCTTTTACATGATGAATATTTTATGGCAACAAAAAAATAAAAACTTGCCTTGGCCAGTCTGGCTCAGCAGTTGAAGCATCGGCCCGCGGACTAGAGAGTCCCAGGTTCAGTTCCCACTAAGGGCACGTACCTCGGCTGCAGTTTGTCCCCGGCCCCGGTTGGGGTCGTGTGGCTGGCAACCAGTCAATGTGTCTCTCTCACATTGATGTTTCTCTCTCTCTCTTCCCCCCTCTCTCCCTCCCACTACTCTCTGAAGATAAATGCAAATAAAATAAAATAAAGTTAACCAAAGCGATCGCCAATAGGCTTGCCAATGCGGCTTAAATCCAATGGCCCTGGATGCAGAGACACAGCTTTCTCCTGTCTGCGGCCTCTTTGCTTCCATCAGTGCAGTGAGGGCTGGACCCAGGTCATTTCTAGGATCCCTTCCAAAAGCGTCTCTGGTTCCTGCGTCAGGCAGTGTCACAGATGTGGCCTTCTTCCCCCATCACTCATTGAGAATAGAACACCCCACCAAGGCACGAGGCCAGTGGGAATAGCCTCCAGGAGTGACCCAGCTTCCTAACAGTCTCTGAGGGAGGCGCTGGGCTTCTGACTTAGCATCTGGCTCTCTGGATCTCAGCTGAGTGTCTCTGACCTCCTAAAGGTCGAAGCTGGGTGGTATCAGCGAGCGCCTGGCACAGGGTGATCCTCCGAGGCTCCAGCTCTCCCCAGAGCCCCAGCCATGGGAGGAAGGCCCAGAGGTGCCTTCTGGCTTTTTCTCACCCAGAGAGACAACACATCGGTTTGAGTGTCTGCAAAAGCCCCTGATGTGTCAGGAGACAGCCAGGTCCACCTCTGGACACTGCTGTGCAAACTTTGCATGCTCAGTGGTCAGCACGCTCTGAGACACCCCTCCTGCCAAACGGGAAATTCCTTCTTGAATTCAGACTTGTCCCGGGGGCAGCTCCTGTTACATTCTGCCACTTACCAGCCCCGGGACCTTGGGCAGGTTTTAACTGACATCGCTAAGATGTACTTCCCCCAGCTGGGACAGCACCCACCTCCTAGAGCTGGGAGGACAGAGGACGGCAACTTTCACCTATCCAGTGGGTAGCAAAGCACCTAGCACTTGGTGGGTGCTCACCGTAGCCAGAAATAGACGATGATTCTCGGTTAATGGAAAAAGCAGCTTTCTCTCTCCTCTCTTCACTTTTCATATTGAACAAAAGCAGCACAGGTCCCACCCTTTCCAATTCAGAGTTTTGGAGACCAAAGGGAGAGAACGGGAGAAAGAAATGAAGTGCCCACCGATCAGTGATGTCTAGGGATGGCAGGGAGGACTCTCGGGCTAGTTAGGAAGCCCCGCTGTTGGCACAGCCTTTCCGGACGGCTCTAGCAGAGGGCAGCCGACTCGTGCTAGCCGCAAAGGTGACCTTTGAAGCAGCACTTCTGTCGTGGCTGCACTGCAAGCTGAGACCGGACGGTCAGGTTGCAAAATACTCTAGAATTTCATTAACTCGCCCTGGCCCCCCCTTTGGCTCTTAAAATAAAGAATCACAAATACCGGAAATTTTTATCAAAGGGGTGGCGGAACTGCATCTATTTTACAAGCGTATGATATTTTTAAAAGACCATTTCTCCAATCAAGTTCCAGTAGCCAAGCATCTAATGAGTCATGAAGTATCCTGGCCTCACCCCTACTTTCTCCATCCTCAACCCACACACACTCTCTCTCTGCCCAGACCGTCAAGGTGGTCAACCCGGAAGCAGTGCCCTTTGCTTTGGAATTTCGGTTATACTTTGTAGCAGAGGTTTCTAGGTTGGGCAACTCTAAAGGTCTGGGACATCCCTTGGCAGCCTGGAGTGACAGTTGAGGCCAGACTCCAGTCCGGCCGCTGTGGCTCAATGGTTGAGCATCGACCCATGCACCAAGAGGTCGCCGGTTCAAATCCGGGTCAAGGCACATGCCCAGGTGGTGGGCCCAATCCCCCATGGGGGGCATGCAGGGGACAGCCAATCGATGTTCTCTCTCATCCAGGTTTCTATCTCTCTCTCCCTCTTAGTTCCTCTTTCTCTAAAGTCAATAAAGAAAAAAAAAATTTGAAGAGAAGACCAGACTCCAGCTCCTTCCTCTCCATCCCCACCCTCCAGCAAGGTCCCAAACTTTAATTCTGAAGACAGTACAGCATAGTGGTTATCAGGGCTTGGCTGCAGGAGCTGGAAGAGACCTCCATGACCTACTCTTAGCTCTTCTCCTACTCGCATGTGACCTTGAAAAGGGACTTCACCCTTCTGTGCCTCACTTTCCTCATTGACTTTCTAAAACGGGTGACATGATCCAGGGCCTCGCAGCACTGTTGAGGACAGCATGGGAAAACTCAGCGGGTAGCAGTGATTGGCACACACTGAGCGCTGGACAAATATGTTGGCGATTCTTACACCATGGGAGATTTTCTTTGAAGAAAGGTGATCTTGGGTATTGACATCCAGATGATCAGGGAGAGAGGCAGTTGGGTCCCACGTGGGCTTTTCTAAGCAAGGTTCATGTGCTGGGTATAGAAGTTCGAAAGCACGTGCAAAAGAAAGAGTGAGAGTTTCTAAACCAAAAGAAGATAAAATATACAAAATCACTGGAAAGGCTGAGGTGAGCCCCGTAGCCACACCCCAGGACACCCCGAGGAGAGACCTCACATTTGCCACCGCCACCCCACAAGGCTGAGCCTCTGCGCGGGCGTGGCCCCAGCACCACTCCGACTGGGCGCTCTCTACCCTTCCTAACGCCACACATCCCGGACACAGCCCTTTGCTGATGCCCAGCCACCCCTTCTCATCTTCTCCTTCCTGCTTCTTACACTGCCCAGGCTTGTTCTTTTTCCGTCTCCTGGTCTAAATCATTCGACCGGCTTGGAAGGAAAGCCAAGAAGGGCTACTGGATGGGGCCAGACTGGCTCCAGGAGGGAACCTGGAAGCAATTTATCATGTCAGGTTTCCCCTCGTAAAGTCCTTCCTTTCAGTGACAAACTGCAATTGATGGTGCCCGCTCTACCCAGTTCACTCACC